AGAAAAAATTGACAGCACTATAATTTTTTGTAGTAATTAAAAGACTCATTTGCGAGGAACTATTTTAACGCAATTTACCATATCATAGTATATATAACATGTTTTGCTATATTTAAAATCAAGTTTTATTCTTGATTGTCTGCTGATTTGCACGAAGACGTGCGGAAGGAAATAAACAAGGATACGGATGAAACGCGATTGATTATATTCTAGGCGTAGGTTCCGCGTCGAAGCTGCGCGACTTCGACGACTGGCAGGATCAGCGACTGTCAACGACCGACGACGACCTGATCTCGCCGTACTCGGATTCGTCCACGAACGATCTCGATCAGATACGACCGCAGGAGCTCACGAAGAACGGTACCTACGTCATACGACGTGGTCGCAAAAAGGAGCGCAAAGTTCTGCCAAAGACGCCGACCAAGACCAAAAGTTTGTCTTTCGAAAACGGCGAGGAGAGGAATCGATTGTCGGATGTGAAGCGATACTCGAGTACCTTTGACAATATCAAGAGCCTGTTGAAGGAGGGCAAGCTGGAGGCTCTGGATGAGCCGCCGGCGGAATTCGCGATTCCGGTGTCGCCGCCGGACCTCATCCGGGTCGTGTCGATGCCGGCGATCAATAACGACGCCAATAATCGGGCACAATTGGAGATCACCGTGGAAGAGGAGGAGACGTCCGACGTCTCTGATAAGGATAAGGAGCGCGACAATATCGAACTACCTCGGCTACCACCGTCGCCAATCGAGGAGGATCAAATGGGTCCCCGTCCGGACCGGTCGAGAGACTCCAACGGCGTTCCGACTGCGCCCAACTTGGCGGATCTGGACATCGGCAGGTCATTGGTGAACAACGCGCTCGCCGAATCACAGACGAAGAAGAAGCTCACGAGTGCGGTGAGCGACGAGCGACTGGCCTCTAAGATCCCGGTGAATCTGCTGATCGAGGATCAGATCGTGAAGAAGGCGCTCAAGGAAAATCGCCGGCAGCTGGAGAAGGTGAGCGACGCGATCAAGGAGATCGAGAACGTGAAGAACAGCGAGTCCTATTGCGAGAGCAAGCGCTGGCGGAACGGCGACCTGAAGCAGAGTTCGAAGCGGAACAGCTTCGAGAGCGAATTCCCGTCGGTCCACGACGGGCGGAAACCCGTGACGATCGACGGTAGTCCCTACGATGGCAGGAGTCGCAGTAGGCAACAACAGCAGCAGCAGCAGCAGCAGCAATACAGCTCTGACTCCGAGACGTCCAAGACCAGTTCGGACGCGGACTTCGCGGACCGAAGAAAGCTGAACGGCGCCACCGAGGTCGTCTACTCGTCCGGCAGGCGGCTGCGTCAGAACGGTATCGAGAACCACAAGAACGATCAGAAGCAGATCGAGAACGTGATCGACGCTATTTTGGAGGACTCGAAGAATCCGGAATTCCAGGTAGGAATGGTGCGGCTCGGCGAATTCCACGACACTTGACGCGCGTAACTCGAATACCCCGCGTGTGTCGACCCGCGAGTCGACCATGCGTTATACACCACTTGGGACGCTTAAAATGCCGACACGAAAAGACGAGGCGGAAATAGAGAGTCCGCCTTTATGGCAAGGGATGCTAAGGTGCATCTGCATCGTGAAAAATGCAAGGGTGGAAATATACGGTCGTGGCGGGCGTGCGCCGCCACGATGGTGAAAAGGCGCCGAGCAGCTGAGACCCCAGGAGCGGGCCGCCCCATATATAAATTGGTAGCATTACCTCTATAATATAGGATTCCATTAGCGATGCCGCGCTACGGCCGCATTTTTCGCCATGAAATGTGGGAGTATCCGAGGAACCGGCCGCGCGTGCGACCTGCTTCCCGCATGCGGATCCGTTTTTACTGATTCCCCATGTAATTAACTCCAACGGAGGAATTTAATCTTTTATCACGCAATGTATATCATGTTTGATTAAGTATGTCTTCTAATGAATCTATATTTATCTTGCTCGGTTTCTTATTTGGAACATTTTAACTAATTATCTTAAATGTTTGTTTTTATTTTATTGAGTGTAATGGAGGAAAATCGCATTTCCATTAAAAATCCAAGAAGAATAAATAATCAATTGACCGCGTTGTCTTCGATCTATTGAAATTTCTCAATACACAGGCCGTGTATGACGAGCAATGAATTACTCCCTGTTGATCCACTTCTTCATTGAAAATACCTAACAAACTCGTTCAATAGTTATCGAGGTGGATGGTCATTCATCCATATATCCCCACGAGGGTCCTTCATCGATTAATAGGTTCTCAGCCTAGTTCCTATTGGAAATTTGCATCCGCGAACTCTTTAGAAACTTTGTGTCGGTCTAAAAATATCTCGATTACATATGTTTCGTAACATTGTTCGTTAAAGAGCGATATATGGAGTGGATTGTAAAAAAAGGGCTTATTGATAGTGAGTGATCCATTAAGCTAAATAACAAATGTTGAACAAATGTTGAGTTGAAAAATTAATCTTGTCAGCGATTTTCATAGTTTGTTGAGTACAAGTGATTTGTTTGTTTCTATTTATTTTAAGCGATGTAAAAACAAAGGATTATCTTATACAATCTGATGTTTACAAAAACTGTAGGCGGCTAAATTTTTCGATTTGAAAATATTTTTATAATTTTATAATATTTCTATACGGTTATACACAGTTTGTCGCACACAAAAATGATATATGATCGGTTACTCGTATTGTCTTGAAATTAAAAATTTTTATACGATTAGTCTACCAAAAAGATTTTTATTCCGATTTTAAAACGGGATTTTACAGGTTTTATGTTGGACGCTAACAACGAATCTGCTCTTCAAATTTATCACGTTACGATTGTAAAAATGATATATTTTTTATAAAATTTGTGAAATAATAATAAACAAAAGAAATAAAATCTGAAATAAAATCTCTGAGCGTTCCACGATCACATTGTGAGTCATCATTTTCGCGATGAATTTGTTCGCCCTTGAAATTAATGAGATTCCCTCTTGATCTCGGAATTGGATTCTCGAGACTGGTCCGTTTTAAACTACAGTTCGTTATACCTCGACAGGTGAGCGTCGACGTGATGGAATTCCCGCCGTTACCACCCTCGCCCGTCGAGGAAGCTGACGAAGAGAGCTGTTCGGACGTTGGCCAAAGCGCCGCGATGACACCACCCAAGTCCAAGAGTCATAGCAGCAGCCGGACTGTGGAGTACAGGCCGAGGGTGCCACCCCATCGTGTCCCGCCGGTCATCGACCCGAAGGAGCAGGCTTCCTTGAACACCAGGTCCATGGATGCCGGCTTTGCCAGAGGGAGACGCACGCCGACCACCAATAACTCTAGGCGTGAGGTGGGTTCGTTTGAAATATTTAACCGGGAATGTAATGTAGACCTGTGGCCTTCCGATGGGGGGGATTAACAGTCATGTTTTTCTCACGTGTAATTATTCAATACAATTACATTATATCTAATGTAATAAAATATTAACGATATGTAGTAGATGTACGAATAATACTACTCGGAATGCTATTTATGTTTTAATTTAAGATACTTTTACAAGATATTCTCTACCTACAAAGAATTGAATTATTCTTTATTATTCTGTTTGCTAAAATGGAATATTTTGGAACATTTTTAAATACTTTTAGATTTAATATTTAGAATAGAAATTTATTTTTTACTCTATCGGAGGTATCGTTCACGAATAGTAGAATTGAAAAACTTGCGGTCTTCTAAAATAACATTTTATCTTTCTTTTCTTAACGACTCAATGTTCCATCAACATTATAAATTTCTGATGGATCAGAATTTCTTTACTGCAAAACTTTGAAACTACTTGGTAACTTGGAAATGTCTTCTTTATCAAACAATAATGAAGGTTGAGTTTTCTCATGCTTAGGATAATCTTACGCAATCAAGCGAGAAGAAATTTGAAATTTTATCTATCTATTTTTCTTTATTTTGAACAATATTAAACATTTTCTATCTATTTATCTCTATCCTTTTTGATTAATTTTTTTAATAAATAAATCGAAGTAAGAATCTATTATCTAAGAATTAATTAATTGAACATGCATATTGACAATATTGATTAACTATCGTTTAATATTTATAGCTTCCTATATTGTTAGAATTGTTGTAGATGTATTGCATTCATTCCTTTTTTTAAATATTCAAATATTTATTTTTTTTTTAATGTAAAGTTATAAATTTTGTAATATTTTGCGGAGGTAAGTTTTTTTTCTCTAACATATTTTATATTTAACTTTTATTTTATAATATTTTTTATGTTTTGCGAAATTTTATAATCTATGAAAAAAATTAAAATAATAAAATAAAATTAAAATAATTAATAAAATAATAAAATAAAATTAAAATAATTAAAATAAATTTTTTAATCTTTTGGTCAACAAATAATATTTGTGAAATTAAATTATGGTCATAGACAAAAATATCATAAAATAAGTCATCGTTAGATATTTTTTTCTATCTAGAACCGTTTCTTGTAGACATATAGAGATCAAGTTCAGAAAGATTTACACACTTGTTATCATGCGAGAGTTCGGAGGAGCTTTGAAATAGTATTCAACGCGCCGCGAAAGGAGGAAGAGATAAAGGGTGCATGAAGTAAATATGTTGAGAGGATGAGAAACGACTTTCGCAATAAACAAGGCCGGCTACAATTTCTCATATCGTCGTAATAAAATGGTACGGATTGTGTATTTTCATTGTATCCCAAAGGAGTTTCCATGTTAAGTGCAACATTCAACTGGTATAAACTGTGCACCGATGGCGATCGATAACGCGGAGGGATATCGTACCGGAAAACTTGCGCATTTGTACAGATTTATTCGTCGTCCATGCATTTGGCGTTGCAAGATTTTTCGGATATTCCGGATGTATTATATAAATACAACTACGCGAATATTACACGAGAATAACATATCGAATATTCGATTTTGACTTAAGCTAGAATAATTAACAGTATCGTGAAATTTGCAGACGAGCAACGATTAATTTTAATTATCGCGGTACATATTTGCCCGTATTCACGATTTACATGATTTATATTATAATGTTACATGTTACGAGACATAATTTGTTAGAAAAAATAAGGGAAATTTTAATCTTTTGGTAAATAACAAATAATTTTGAGCGAGAAAAACTGTTCGGCATTTCTTAGAGATCCACCTCTCTCAGACATCATCTTTCTTCAAGAAATTCAATTAAAATAGTTTCAACGAGAGGGAATTAAGGTTATGACGTTACTCGACCAAAGGTGTTTCGCGCATTCTTCTTGGAACAAACAACGAGAGCTCGCTTCGACATCCCTGAGGTGGCCTGTACTCGCACGCAGTCCGACGCAGTCGAGTCGATCTACCTTTGAGGATCGTCGTTCGGACGATACGTCTTTCCGTCTCTCGCGGCGCCGGAAATGGACGGAAAAGGGACGGGATACTTTGCACCGGTGACTAGACTAGAGGGCGAGATCAAAGGCCGGGATGAATATAAAGAATGAGCCGGGACGACTCTCCCAGGCTCCCCCCCCCCCGGTCGTCGTAGACTAGAGAAACGAGGAAACGTTACGGATACACAATGCTTCTGGGAAATAAGTGCCCCCTTCCGCGGCCTCCGCGCTAATTTTCTCTTCATTTTGTCGGCTCGTTCGCCGACATTATCATTCCGCCGGACAACGATTTCCGCGGCGGAAATCTCCCTCGGACGTTGCTCGCGCCGAGAAAAGTTCTTGTTCTGTGGAGACACGCTTTTCGATAGTCCGTACACCGAAGAAGTATAAGTAATTTTTTTAAAATATATAAGAGTGTCAATGATATACGTATGATACGTATCGTAAAAATAATACGTAAAAGATCTGATCGATGATGCGATCGAAAATGATCTTCATCGCGCGTTGATTCACAAGTGCAAATTGATGACGCGATACCTAAGTTCCTTGATCGCGTACCTTGATACCTTGATTATCAGCGTGCGTCACACGAGACAATGCGATCTCTCTCTCTTTCTCTCTCTCTCTCTCTCTCAGTCGAGCACCGATCTTTCTGAATATGTTGCGCATCCCCCGCGCGACAGGCACAACCCCCTTTGGAAAAAAAAAACGGGGAATGAAAACGTAGAGAGAACCGTTTTTTCCGCCGTTGTGTGTCGCGTGCGTATTGTCTCGTCTTTCCGTGGACCGGTGTAGGGGGGAGACTGCGAGCGGATAAAAGGGGGATGGCCCTTTCCGGAGGGGGAAGAGGGACGCCAGAAAGGGACGCCGGTGAATGGAGGACCCGAGCGCGCGCGTATTCCTACGATAAATAAAATGTCCACGTCTATCCGCATTGTGCATAATGAAAAGTAACGACGGGCTCGCGGAAGGGCATATGCACGCGGGGGGTGCGTTTCGAGGGGATGCGAGCGCGTGCAAAATGCAGAGAGAGACGAGTGCCTCTCTGTCGACACGGCCGCCAATTCGTCGCGTATCCTTGGATTGTGTGGGTTTCATTTGATACAGAGAGTGTCCTGCAATATCTGGAATTAAAGGAAACGGTGCGTTTGAAAGTGGCCACAAATATGAATTCTTTATCCTTTTTTTTCAAAGTATTTTTTTCTGTTTTTTTTTTTAATTATTTTCCACGTTACTTTAAAAAGGAATAAAATTTGAATATATTTGAATATTTAAGGAAGATATTAAACATCGTTGCACGAATCACAGTAGGCAGGAAACTTAAATCTCTCTGCTTCGCCTGCCGCGATGTCGAACGAAAGTTTTTTTTTTAAATTAAATAATTACTGTTAAATTTTTTTATTCGTGCTCACAGTATTTTTGTTCCGATGTCTAAAAGAGTTTGCTACGACACGTTAATAAAAATGAGAAACCATCTAGAAAACTGATGAAAAAGATTCATGAAATTGATGAAAATGTACAAAAAAAAAAAAAAAACAACTTAAAACATTCAAGGCAACATCAAAATAAAAATCTTGCATTTAATTTTAACGTAATTGTAATTCGACTTGCCCGTGTCCGTGAATAACGCAGGATTGATCACAATCGCCTCCACTCCTTTTCTAACATGTTTTAGCATTTGTTTTGGCATTTCGTGCCAAAAATTAAATGCACCGTTTAATTTGCATACGCCGACTTGCTGGCGTTTTGTCGCGCTGGATTTGCCTGAAGCGCTGCGTATTTATACGGCAAAGACTTTGTGCTTTGCCACACTTCGTCTTCGAGTGAGTCTAACAAATCACGCATGCGAAATACAAACGCAGCTGTATTCGCGCGGAAACACTCGCGTTACACAACACCGGGTTTTAGACCCGGTTACATATTCAAATACATATCGGCGAGTCGCACGGTCGATCTCTTCGGGAATAACTCGCGACGACATATCTCCTAGCTCACTTTCCCCGCCGCCTTTCGACTTTAAATACATTTCAAATAGATTTATTCTGTTCCTGACATTTAAAATTCTTTTGCCTCTGTGAGCGATCGACAGCCTGCAATTTTTATCACGAAACGTTCTACCAACCGTTTTGCATACTATCCACTATCGTGTTGTTTCTCTTTTTATGTTTATGTAGAAGAACGTATTGCCATAAAGATAAAAGATTTGGATATGTCACATGAAAAGAATCGAAACGAAGAGAAAGAAGATTTCTTGTGCACGGTGAAAATAGAGAGATGACTCTCCAATAATAATAATAATAACTGCAAGATTTACATTAAATAATTATAATATTTGAAAATATTAAATTTTATTATTATGTAATAATTACTATGCAAAGGAGGATGTGCAAAGAAAATATTTTTTTCTCGACAAAATTTCCTATTTGTCAATCGGAACTCGATTAAATTTAATGGAATTAAATATTTTTGTAATCGATTTGATCTTGCATTCATAGTGTATTCGTGCGTGAAAAAAATGAACTTGCTAAAGCCTCGTGAAATTCCATTTCATCCCTCCGAGCCGATACGTCATCACAGAAAGGTCCTTCTGCGGTATCGCAGCACGCTCGATCATCGAAAATGACGGACGGTTCATTGCTGGAGTGACGTTTTTCCGGTGCAATAATCCACGAGTGGAATCGAGCTAGAAATTCAGTGGTGAATCGAACTCTGGCTTGATGTTTCTCGACATAGTCATTGACATAATTTTGTTAAAAGCAGAAGAGACATAGTTTATTTTTATAACTCATTCAGATTTTCTTGTAAAAATTTATAAAAATTTATCGGAGTGATCCTAATTGAAGGGGAATATCGCTGGAACAGAATTTTATGCTGCACACCCCACACGCGGTGTATCGCTTACTATTATGCACCCCTGGTCGAGGTCGATCGGGAGCTTGTCGTAAAAAACGCAGGGGAAAGAGCCCGAAGGCGGTACCAGAATTCGGTCGTAATATGTTCGCAAATATTGGCAATTTTTTTTCACGATCTGTCCTTGAAAGCGGTGCTCGAAAATGAAAACTCAAACCGATATGAGGAGTGCGGCTCAAACCGATCTCTGATACAGCGCCCGGGTGAAGAGTCTCGACGCAGAGGGCTCTTTTGCGAAAAAGGAGGGGTCGGAAAGATTACATTGTATATTCCTGTAATCCCGTCGCTGCTGAGAGATGGGATTCAATTCGAGCAAGCAACGATATATTACAAGAGACATTCTTATGGCTCTTACGGAATATTTAAAAATTATCGTATAAAATTTCGCGTTTTTCGCTTAACGCGCAAGATTGAGTCTTCTTGTAAAATCTTCTTGTAAAATCTGTCTAGACCCGTGTCATTGAAAGATAATAATGATCAATAGCTGATCCTTTTTCAATTAATCTTAGACGAACTGCTGACGAATAAAATCTTAATTGCCAAGATACTCTACTTTGAAAACTAAATATCGACTTAAAATTCCATTAAAGTAAAACCCCACGCTTTCCTCGAACGCTTTGAAGTTTTCAACTTCGGTCCCTGAAAATCCGCGGCTATATCCGATGTAGAAAATTAAAAAGTTACGGGAAAAAAAAAATTACGGATTTCCTTTTGTATATATCCTTCTAGAGGCGTATATTTCAGTAATGTGATTTTTAGGGGAGAGCGATTAGAGCAGATCTGAACGAATCGATTATGCACAGATTCATCGGGCAGAGTCAAATTATTTCTCCGTTATATCCCGTATTGGAAGAAAGCGGATATTTTATGCAGCTTGAAAGGGATCCTAGGTTCGAAGGATGAAAAGAAGGAAGGAGGACGAACTGATTTTCCCTCCTCTCGTCTTGTCCCCTCGTCTCGTATTATCCCCGCGATCGAGTACACCCTCCGATCGCGTTATGAGACTCGAGAGACGTATTTCGAGAATGAAAATGAAGATCCCCGAGTCGATTGCTCTTCTATAAGACGCAACACGATTTCGCTGTTTTATTTATACCGTTAAAGCTCGTTTCCCCATAATACTTTGGAATACTAAATTCTAAATATCACGAAAGTAAAATTTGCTATCGTTCCTTTTTTATCGTTAGATTTCAATGATACGTATATTTTGTCTTCCCTGTTCTCCACATTTGTCGAAAAGTCTGTTTGAACTCATATTTACACGTATCACTAAGATAAAATATTACAATGGTTTTTTTTTTATGAAATTAATGTCTCGCGATATAGGTATATCTTTTACTCTTAAGATTAACATCCATCTCAAGATAGTTTCACGCAAAAGCGTTATCTATCAATCCTTTGTCACGTGATGCGTGCTCGTGCACGTTCCTTACATCGTTGCATCAGCAAAACTTCACTCAACGAGTTACCTCGAGTAGGTAGACAACAAGTAAGTGTTCGGCTGTTCTACAAGAAGGAGGAAACAAAAGACAAATTGTAGCAGAAAGAAAATTTCAGCGGAACGAAAGAGGAAGAAAGAAAGAAAGAAAGAAAGAAAGAAGACGAAAAATATATA